CCTTTCTTGTCAGACAACTTGGCAGAAGGTTTTATTTCAATGTCTTGTTCCACGTATAAGAATGAGTTGTCAATAGAAATAATATGAAACCTGTCGCAAGCAATATCTACTGTTGTTGAAGAACCTTCTCCAAACTCACCTACGTTTCCATAAGAAACAGCAGTTGTATATTCGTAAGTTCCAGGAACTATTTCTGACCTTCTAATGGCATTGTCGCATTCGTTATACCATTCGGAAACATTTCCGTTCATGGCATCCAAAACTGTTGGCGTTATATTCTGAGCGGCGTACATTTCATATGGGTAAAAATATAGAATAGTTGGATTTATGTGTCATAATAGAACCACTCGGACCAAGCTTTACTTTCTTCCTGACTGAGTTTTTAACTCTTCTTTTTTCCTTCATTGCCACTACTTTCACTAGATGAAGTTACTTCTTCACTACTTTCACTTTGTTCTACTCTTCTTCTTTGGTGTCGCTTTTGGTAACTTGCCCTCTGCTTCAAGTTGTTGCATCTTTGCCTCATGTTCACCTAGTATGTTGTAAATTTCCCATGTCCTTTTGCCTTTGGGCTCTGGTCGCCCATTCAGGTAACCTATATCCTAGAAAGATTTTGTCATAGTTTGTATTTGAGTCTTCGCTTTATTGTTTGCATGACCTCTTTCCTGAGTTTCCGGTTCAAGCTCTTCAAACAGAGCTTGTCCATATGGAATAAGCTCGTTTCCAAATATATGTTTTTGTAGCCATTTGGTTTTCTTTCCATGTTACCAATAATATCTTTTGTGAATGGGAAAGCTTTTACCCAATGTTTCAGTCTTGCGTCATTTATTTCTGTAGTTGGTTTTATTTTGTCAAGGAACATGTTTTTCAATACTAACATTTCATTTGGTACTGTCCATTTGAGTTTTCTTAAATATTCATCCCTTCTCGGTTCATTGTCTGCAAAGTAAGTTTTTATGACATTTTGCAAACTTTCGTTTGCAAGGTCATGTACAATAGGTTCTCTTCCCTTCTATCTCCCTAACTTTCTTTCTAAACTCTTCACCAAATATACCATCTTTATGGTTCTGTGTAGTTCTTTGAGATAAATGTTTTAGAACGTCAGGTGTTATATTTCCATCAGCCATGTTCATTTCATACTGTTCAAAATATCTGCATCTTTCATATCTTTCAATGGCATTAAAGCCGCGCTGAAAATACCAGCTATATCTGGTTCACCATTCACTTCCATTGCGTCTACAACTTCTTGGAATTGTGGTTGTAAGTTTATGAACCACCTATCCGGATTAGCTTTATGACCCCATCTCATTGTAGTTCCATAGTCTGCAGAAACAAAAGTAGGTTTGTTTCCATATTGGTTAGGTTCTGAATGAACTTTAAACAATGTTTCATTTCTATATGTTTTGTTGAAATTTAACCTTTTATTTTCACCGAGTTCAGCCAAAGATTGAACGTTATATGGTCGTAAGTAAAAAGGATTGTTGTATTTGCGTACACTTTCTTTCAGTTCTTCCATTCTATGCTGAATATTTTCATCTGATGTTGGAGTCTTTTGTATGTCGGCGAACATTTTTCGATATTCTTCTACTATGTCAGCCGAATTTTTCTTAGACTCTTGGAAAGATTCCATATTCTCCGCATACACTTGTTGAGGGTCAAGATTTTTCGGCTGTTCCAAATCTTCATCTAGTTCTGTGAAGTTAGTTTCCAAAGGAGGGACTTGTTCGTTTCCTTCAGGCTCTTCTAGCTGTTGTTGCTGAACTATTTCTTCCATGTCTGGTTGTATCTGAACTTCTTCCTGTGAGTTTCTTGTACCTCATCTGCTGGCATTTCATATATTCCGAGACCGTTTTTAACAAGTTCCCTATCTAAGTCATCCGGACTCATAACCTTTCTTCTTTCGTTCCGTCTCTATTTTTTACGCGTTTCATGAAGAGAGTTGAATTATCATTTAGCTCTGACACCAAATATCTCGGAGTAAATTCAGTCATGTCATTTGGATGATATGCTATTAAATCATATCCCTTAGCGAGCTTGTATTTTCCAGGTTTGAAATTATATCCCATTTGGTGCTGAACCATAAAGCTAAATAGGTTCGGGTCAGTATTTCCTTCCTTGAACTTTCTAATAGCTTCTTTATATCTGTCACTAAAGTCAAGAGTATCTGGGGTAACCATAGTCTTCCTTAAGCATTTTTAAGAATTCTTGGTTTCCTTGTTCTCTACTTCTTTTATGTCCTTGCTCTGTTTGTGGTTGTTGTTGTGCAGGGTTTTGAACTGTTGGTTTGGTTGTTGCAGTGTTTTGAACTGTTGGTTGTGGTGCAGGTTTTGAACTGTTGGTTGTGTGCAGTGTTTTGAACTGTTGGTTGTGTGCAGTGTTTTGAACTGTTGGTTTTGGTTGTTGTTGTGTGCATGCCTGTGTCTGTGTCCATGTGACGATGTAAATGTTTTAGGTAGTCCTGGTGCAGGTGCTTCTCTTGGAGGGTTTGGTGGTATATAAGTTCCACCAGCTGGCACATATGTTCCATCTGCAGCATAATGTCCTACCTGACTTTTCGTTTTTAAGAAAGCATTTACTAGGTCTGTTTTTGGTCTGTTGTAACTCTTTTTCTTGACTTTCCACAACAGTTGCTCTAACGGCGTCATAGGCACTTTGAACTGCTTGTCTCGTTGCTGCATCTGTTATTTTTCGTCATATTTTGTGCTACTTCTCTTAACTCTTTGTCGAAACCTTCAGACTTCAGTTTTCTTTCCAGATGAGAAGTCGTTTCACAGTAGTTTCACCTTACTATGAAGAGCTTCGAAGGCGTTCTTAAAGTCAGCATTCATTAAAGCTTCATTTGAACTGTCTTCATCCGCTTGTATTTTTGTCCTTATTGACCCTATAAGTTGGCTGCTTTTGGCGTTGGCTTGGGCATCTAACCAGTCATTATTAGCTTTTATATATTCTGCGCTTTTCATTGCCTTTTGCATGGCTGCGTCGTTATTTTTACTTTCTTGTGCTAAGTTTTCATACTGTACGGTTTGGTTTTGCAACTGTAAAAGTTTTTCTGCCTTTACATTTGCTTCAACTTCTTTTTTATACTCATCGCTATCCATATATGTCTTCAGGGCTTTTTGTTTTATCTCTTCATCTTTCAGTACTTTATATTGAGTAGTTATGGTTTTTTCAAAATTTATAACATCTTGTTTCCATTTTTGCTACTTCTGCTGCTTTTTCTGACACTTTTTCGCATATTCTTCTGTACTTAGTTCTTTCAGTTGTTCTTCTTTCTTCTTTTTCTCTACGTTTAACTCATTGAGTTTCTTTGTGTGTCTGTCATATTCTAGTTTTCTTTTCGTTTTCACTTATTTGTTTCTGTATGTCTATGTAGAGATAATATACCAACCGCCGGAATGTCGACGGTTGCTTTTATACAAAATTCAACGGGTGAAAGAATACGATGAGATCTAACATAAAATATATTTTTGTCTGATTTACGCTCATTACGATGAAATCATGACAAAACATGTACGAAGAAGTCTTGACAAAACATATACGTTCATGTTTGACAAAACATATACGAAGAAGTCATGACAAAACATATACGAAGAAGTCATGACAAAACATATACGAAGAAGTCATGACAAAACATATACGTTCATGTTTGACAAAACATATACGAAGAAGTCATGACAAAACATATACGAAGAAGTCATGACAAAACATATACGTTCATGTTTGACAAAACATATACGAAGAAGTCATGACAAAACATATACGAAGAAGTCATGACAAAACATATACGAAGAAGAAGTTTATTTCCTGGACTGTTGTCAAAATGTCATGTTGTCACACTTTTTCAGAGAAGTTAAAATGACCGAGGGACCGAGGGACCGAGGGACCTGGTGACACCTTCAGTTCTTCAAAACATGTACGATGAAGTCATGACAAAACATTTACGATGAAGTCTTGACAAAACATATACGAAGAAGTCTTGACAAAACATATACGATGAAGTTTATTTCCTGTGTTGTTGTCTAAATGTCATGTTGTCTCATTTTTTCAGAGAAGTTAAAATTACCTGGTGACCTGGTGACCTGGTGACACCTTCAGTTCTTCAAAACATGTACGATGAAATCATGACAAAACATGTACGATGAAGTCATGACAAAACATGTACGATGAAGTCATGACAAAACATTTACGAAGAAGTCTTGACAAAACATATACGAAGAAGTTTATTTCCTGTGTTGTTGTCTAAATGTCATGTTGTCTCATTTTTTCAGAGAAGTTCGTTTAACCGAGTGACCGAGTGACCGAGTGACCTGGTAGCACCTTCAGTTCTTCAAAACATTTACGAAGAAGTCTTGACAAAACATATACGATGAAGTCATGACAAAACATGTACGATGAAGTCATGACAAAACATGTACGATGAAGTTTATTTCCTGTGTTGTTGTCAAAATGTCATGTTGTCTCATTTTTTCAGAGAAGTTAAAATTACCTGGTAGCACATGGTAACATGGTAGCACCTTCAGTTCTTCAAAACATTTACGAAGAAGTCTTGACAAAACATATACGATGAAGTCATGACAAAACATGTACGATGAAGTCATGACAAAACATATACGATGAAGTTTATTTCCTGGACTGTTGTCAAAATGTCATGTTGTCACACTTTTTCAGAGAAGTTAAAATGACCGAGGGACCGAGGGACCGAGGGACCTGGTGACACCTTCAGTTCTTCAAAACATGTACGATGAAATCATGACAAAACATTTACGATGAAATCATGACAAAACATTTACGATGAAATCATGACAAAACATGTACGATGAAGTCATGACAAAACATATACGTTCATGTTTGACAAAACATATACGATGAAGTCATGACAAAACATGTACGATGAAGTTTATTTCCTGGACTGTTGTCAAAATGTCATGTTGTCACCATTTTTCAAAAGAAGTTAAATTACCTGGTGACCTGGTGACCTGGTAGCACCTAAAATATATTTTTCAATACTTTTTCAGCACTTTTCCGTAGTTGTATATGAAAGACAATTCGAGATAAAAGTCATAGTACAATGGTATTATATGCTGCACACCATTTGTTGTGAACCAAACTTGAAAGTCAGAGAAACTGTTACTAGGTGGTTCGTAGAATTTAGAAGCAAAGTCATAAAAGTCCTTACCGATACTTAGAAAACTATTGTTGCTTGAACTGAAACTTGCATGACACATAACATTTTGAGGGTCGAACACATTTCTATAAACTGTCAAATCTGCTGGTGGAAGTATAAATTTAAATGGACCATCTGGTGGTAATGGTTCGTTCTGGTTTAGTAACCGAAGAAATTGTGCCCAAGAACGTTTGTCTACTCCCCAAAATAAAAACTCCGTATCTCTTGGAGGGTTAATTTCAATCTTTTGAAATGAAACGGTGGAGTTCATCTTGTCATATTCTAGTTTCAGATAGTATGTTCCATTTAGTAAAGAGTCGTATTTTTCTTGAAATTCCCAATAGTATTTGTTCATTTGAGTTTGAAAGTCATTTAGAGTTTTCTCAAGACTTTCGTCTGAACGAACTGTAAAGATTCTCATTTCGTCAAATTTGTCTATTAGACCATCAGAACCTTTATACTGCCCATGAAAATATACTGCGAACATAAATGCGTTAGTTCTATTTGAAAACAAAACTCTTCTAAATCCTATTGCCTTTGCATCTGAAGGACTTTGAAGCCAACGAATTGGATAGTCAAACCTGTATGCTCGGGATGAAATTTCTTCATCTGAAATAGTCCTACCAGCATTTGTAAAGATATAGTCTAACGGTTTTGTATCTACTACTTTTGTTCTTTGTTTTTCAACCTGAAGCATTTAATATATGTAAAAATATATTGTTTTAAAAACGTTTTTACTTCATATTTCTCATCTAACAAACAAGTTGTCTGACTGCTTGAGGGTTAGGTTGGTACCATTCGAACTTGACACTTGCAATTCCTTCAATTCTATTCAAAATGTCTGAGTCGGAGTCAAACATTTGTTCTCTCTTTGTAGTCTTGAAAGCGTCAAGAAGTTGTGCAGCTGTTGTGACATTGCCATGTGCATAGTAAATGTGACCATCCAAATCTGTTATGGTCATTCTGAGATTGTGTCCTTTCTTATTTCCGTCTTGTATGGCAGCAAGTACTCCCATGAAGCCTTCTTTGTTCTTTCCTTCGTCAAAGTTTACTGTAAAGGTTCGACCAGATGTAATTTGACTTCTAACTTCACGGTACTTCTCATATGCATATCTTGTTCTTTCCATGGGAGCATGACCATCCTCTGCACTACCTTTTTTCCTTCTCAAAGGATGCAATTGTTCGTCATGTTTCCAGTAGAATCTGGCAAAGCCGTCGTGTCCTTCAACTTGAGGTTCACTAACATCGAAAGGCATGTCCATAAGACGTTCTTCTTCTAACCTCTCTAGTCTGTTTGGATAATTTGCACGTGCTGTTTCCAAATCCATTTCGTAGCGAAGACCAGACAATTTGTCATAGACTTTTATGGGTCTTCCCTTCCTATATTTAAACTTCTTCGAAACTCTCCAACCATAACTTTGCAACTCTGCTTTTATTCTAGCAGACTTTCTATCCATTCTATATGGGGGCATTTCAAATAAAATAAAAAAATATTTTTTTCTTTACTTAACATAACCGCCTGCTGCCATAAGTCTTTGACGCCAACCCATACCAGCTAATGAAGGTTGACTTGGTTTAGTTTCCAAACTAAACTTTGGTTTTGGTTTATCTTCAGTTTTTGGTTTTTCTTCTTCTATCGGTTTTTCGTCACTTTTCGGTTCAGCTGACTTTACCTCACTTGCAGGAACAGTTGTGTCGTCAACATCTTCATAAATATCATATGCCATTTGTTTTTGTTTTCCTTTCAACTTTTTGTGTTTGTTGTAAAGTTTAGAATATTTCGACTCTAAGTCAATGAGATGTTCTATAATGAACTGTTGGTCAGTGAAGTAAACTTTTCCATCTGTTGTCTCGAAAGCTCCTTCAGACTTCAATATTTTATTTGTGAGAGTCTGTTTCTTTTTTGAGATACTAGCCGTTCCATTTTTATGAAAAGTGACTTTGTAGTTAGGGTTTGTATTTCCAGACCTGGCACTTTCTATTATTGAATTTTTCTCTTCATCTGTAAGTTCTTTGACAGGTTTTGACAATGGTTCTGAACTTTTTGTTTGTGGTGTCAAATCTACCGTTTCAACTTCTTCGGTCATTTCATCTCAGTAAAAAATTTTAGTTTGGTTTGTTTTCAACTGGTTGTTGTTGTTTTTTAAGTCGGTCTAAAACTTCCTGAGGTATAGGAAGAACTTGACAAACACGTTGTGTAACTGCTGGAAGCCGACAAATCCATCTTGAACCCATTTGTCTCAATGCTGTATTGTTCATTTCATCTCAGTAAAAAACTTTACATTCCCCACGTTTGAGGCGGTTGAGGTTGGTTATTGTTTACCCATTGTTGTGCATGGTTATATCCTCTGTTAAAGAATCTTTCACCTTGGTCCATATAGTGTCCTGCTTGGTTATAGTAGTCATTTGCTTTGTTATAATAGTTTCCTGCTTGTCTTCCTACATTGTCCATCCATCCTTGAACTTTTCCTCTTGTTTCAGGATTTGGAATAAGATTTGTTGCATCTCGTGCTACATCCCAACCTTTCTGTACAGTTTGTATAATAGGTTGTGCTTTCTCTTTAAGTATACCTAATGTACTCAAAATCTTCCTTCCAACTCCAAATACACCTCTGGCTATTGTTCCCACTGCGGGCAAAAATCTGGATGCAACTCCTGCTAATGCGCCAAATAAACCCATTTCTTATAGGATAAAAAATGACGAATCCAAACAAGGACCCCTATGTTTCTAAAGCGACAAAAAAAGCACTCATGATAAAAATCTTTAGTTCAACACCAAATGCTTGGTTTATGGATATCTTGGAAAACATTCCGAGAGTTAGAACAGATGGACCACCATACTGGCTAATATTTGTCGGTCAAAACACAAGATACTGTGAAGCCATACCATTATGGTCCAAAAATATTTTAGATGTGAAAACTGCTTTGACAATATTCGTTGACAAATACCATCCAACAAAACTGACATCTGACTGTGAAAGTTCTTTCAAATCAGACGATATTAAAAACTATCTGCGTTCAAAAAATGTAAACCAATATTTCATTGTCGACCAAAACCATTCTGCTCTTGGTGTCATTGACGGATGTATAAAAATGTTAAGAGACTTAAACCAACCACAAGGTGGTGAAGCAAATGAAATGTCATATGACGACAAATATAGACACTTCTCCATGGCAAAGATGAGACAAGTTTTAAATATTTACAATAACCGTAAACAAAAAGGTTTGGGAAACCACTCCCCCGAAGAAATGAAAAACAACCCTGACTTAGAGAAAGACTATATATTTAATAATTTAGTCAAAAGAGACAAACAAGAAAGAATGCCGGGCTTCAAACTTCAGAAAGGTGACAAAGTAAAAATAGAAATACCTAAACGCGACCCATATGAAAATACTATTGACTATGACAACAATGGGAACCCGACAGGTACTCACATTCGTGTTCGTAAAAATAGAAGAAAGTATACAAGAGAATATTATGAAGTTTTAGGCAAACATGGCAAAATGTACACACTGCAAGCAGAAGATAAAACTACTATTGTCAGACCTCGTTTCAAACTTGTCAAAGTTCAAGGTGGTATACTTTCAAAGACAGTTCCTAACCAATATAAGACAACTCCTGACGAATATGCTAAAGAAGTGGAACATGACGACTAAGCAATTCTATACCATGCGTAAACTGTCATGTAAGGTGGCATGTAGTCTTTACTTTGTCCCGTTGTTTGCGTATACCCTGAAACGAAATGTGTATGGTCTCCTCCTACCTCAGTGTTATCCAAGTAACAATTTATAGCAAACTGAACGTTGTCTTTAACATCATATCCTTTACCTTTTGTCATTCCTGTCCAATCCCAATATTTATGCCTATGCCCACCTTCTCGAGATGTAGTTAAACTTACGTAGTGACTGTGCGCAGGTAAATTTGCACCTGAAATCGTTTTACTTCCACCTGTTTCCTTTGAAGAGTTTGCACAATACAAAAACCTGTCGACTATTTGAGTCCAAGTTCCAAAACCTAAAACTGTTGCTGGATTTGTTGAATTCATTGACGTATAAATAGAGCCTATAGGATATAATGTTTGAAGCATTTCTGTCTTTAATGTTTGAAGCTCTGTTTTGTCTGCTTTCTTGTCATATAAATCTTGAGCAGTGAATTTAATATTATATTCATCCTTCATGACATAAACATCTTTACATCTAATGTTTCTCATCGTCGTTATGTCGTCATCCGATGTTAAACCTTGTGGAAAGTTAGGAGGTTTACAATATAATGCATCCCCACCAGTTTCTTCAACCGTTCCTTCAATACTTTCTATAGCAACAGTTGTAAAACTTGTATGTGTATGAGTCTTATCTGCTTTCTTTTCAAGGCTAACGTTTAAGTCTGTTATTTCAGAAGATGTATGTGTATGTCCAACGTCACTTTTCCTGTTTAAGGTTTCTTGTAAGTTTGTAATATTTGCAATGGTATGTGTATGTCCAACGTCACTTTTCCTGTTTAAGGTTTCTTGTAAGTTTGTAATATTTGCAATGGTATGTGTATGTCCAACGTCACTTTTCCTGTTTAAGGTTTCTTGTAAGTTTGTAATATTTGCAATGGTATGTGTATGTCCAACGTCACTTTTCCTGTTTAAGGTTTCTTGTAAGTTTGTAATATTTGCAATGGTATGTGTATGAGTCTTTTTAGAATATTCGTTTTCAGCTCTTGTCACTTCACTTGACATTTTATTGTCAACATATGTTTTGTCTGCTAGTTCAGGATGAGTATGTTCTTTTGTTGCATAAGCATTGTTAGCTCTTTCTTCTTCTTTTGCTATTGCATCGTCTACATATTCTTTGTCAGCTTTGTTGCCAACATCTGCTTTCAAAAGAAGTTCATTTATAGGTTTCTCGTTTAAAGTTCCTTTTGTTGGATTTATACAGACAGTATGGTTCTTATTGTCTTGAAACAGAAACTCATCTGTCATTGGGTTTAATGTCAGTTTTAAGTTTCCTTCTTTCAATGACTCAGATATCTTAGAGTAGTTTGAAAAGTTTGTTGTGTTCTTATTTAGAGCTTGTATAATGAGTTGTCGGTTGTGTTGTATTTCTCTCATAGACGCTGTTTCATTTGACATTTTTATTCTAGATAAAATATGCTTTCAATAGAAAAGAAAATTCTAGAGTTGCTACAACTAAACCATTAGATGAACTTTTTACTAATGTCGGTCAAAAGTTTGAGACAGAGACCGTAAAGCATGAAGGCTATCGTTTTGACTACCCGTTAAGATGGTTAAGAGACCCATCCGTCACAAAGCTATTGCTTTTCGTAGAATGAAGTTCATTTCAGAAGCCATACATGGTTTCCCATTTACGGTCGGTTTTTGAAGTTCGATACTATAACAAAAGAAAAACGTATGTATGAGAAATTTGAACAGGGAAAACTTTTACAAGTGAATTTGCTTGTAAACTTAGAAACAACTCTTCAAGCTTTTCAAGAAAAAATAAACGACATCTATATTGAATATGCAAACCAGTTTAACATTGACGAAGGAGAATACCATCTCGATATTATTTATGACAGGAAAAATGCAACTGTTAAAATCAATAGAATAGAAGACCTTGGAGAAAACGTTTATATTTCTACAAAATATAACAACTTGGCATGGTATAGATTTATGAGGATGTTAAATCAGCCTGCAGCATATCCAGTACACCGCAGACTTTTATGAAGTCGAAACCCTAATGGAACATATGAAAATGTTTTCGACCAAGCTGCTATTATTGTTCATGCTTCATTTTCTGGCGCGCCAAAACTCTTTCTTATGCTTGGCAAATGACTTTTACGAAAAACCTACAAAGTTATACGAACCACCAAGTGGAAGTATTTCAGACTTTCAAGTATGGTTTACTACAGATGGAAGAAAAAGAACAATTCCATTATACCATGCGTTTTACTTAGAACTTAGTTTCATATACAACTACTATCGAACGGTAAAAATATAATTTTTTAATACGGTTGAGGTGTTGGATTTGGTTGCCAACTTGACTGTGGTGCAGGTTCAGGCTGTTGTATAACAGGAGCTTGTTCTTCTGGTTCAGGGTCTTTAGGTATATATACCAACGAACTGACGCTACTCTTTTACCAATATTTTTGACAGACGCGTTCCAAATTCCCTCTTCCGACAGATTTTATCCATTCCATATACCTCTTCCAACATTTCGAAAGAAGTTTCCTATTCTTCCAAAGAAACCCATTTTACTACGTGTAAAAATCTAATGTCCGCCTAGTCTCTTACGTTTCCTGTTGAGTTCCATAGCATTCTTTAACTGGAGCTCATACATTCTGTTTCTCCTCTGGTAGAAAACATATTCTGGGTCAACTCCTGTGTTCGCGTCATCTGCATAGAGTTGTTTATATCCCACTTCAGGTTTGTATAAAACTCTTTCCATCTCATATTTGCATACCATGGTGGCAAACCTAACGGCAGCGTCATTTGACATGGCAGTTTGCATTTGTACATCTGTTGGCACTTGACCATAGTTTGCCATTGCAGTTTGTATTCTAACTTCATTTGGAATATTCTCTGGGTTTGGTTGTCCAGGTTGCTGTGCATTCGCTAAGTTCTGTGCGTCCATTTAATATTAGATAAAAATATCTCTTACGAGTACATATACTGGACATTTGCAGGCATTGGTTCATCTTCATATTCTCCTGTACTTTTCTGCCACGTCAAATAAATAAATGACACAATGGAAAAAACCTAAAACAAGTAGTCCTATTTCAAACCACATTTACTTACTAGTAAAATTTCTTTGTTATGACACTTTCTCGCGTTTATAGGACCTCTCTCATATTCTATCTTGTCATATATAAACTCATAGTCATGTATGTCCTCTAACCATCTCATAACGGTTTTCCAAAACCACTTTTATCGGATGTAAAGTAAAAGCATGGACAGTTATGTAAAACGTCTAAAGTTTCTAAAGAGTCTCTCAAAGTCCAGTCTACTTGTATTGAAAATCCCATGTGTTAAAGAACGGCGGGTCCACTATAAAGAAAACATTTTCCTTGTCTTTATATTTTCATAGCAACTCTGTCCAATGACATCTCACAAACTCTATACCCTCAATATATTTTTCTATGTCCTCTTTGAAAACATTTGTATAGTTAAGATATAAAACATTTGACATAAGTGTTTCAATGTCATGAACTCTTATAGAACCACTATATAATAGTCTAGCAGATATACTATCCCAGTCTATATATTCTGCTTTTTTCAAAACCTCTCTCACAATATTTTTGTTATCTAATGGTATACGTTCCATCTTACCTATAGGTATCTTTTCTTTTAACTCTTTCAATATATTGTTTGTGTCTGGTATATGTTTGAGACGGTCCATATAGTTGTCGAAGTCATTGCATATAATCTTTGAGTCTGGGAATATTGTATGGCACAAATGGGATATATAGAAACTTCCACCGAACAAATCTACAAATGTTAGACCATTCGGTAGTTTCTTAAGTTCTCTCAATAGAATATCTTTACATTTACTCTTATTTCCAAAGAACGGTAACGGTGGTTTTGTAAAATTCATTTATATATAATAATAAAAATGTTTTTTCCTGAAAAGTGACAGAAAAGTGACAAAACATGAAAACATATATAATTTGTGAAAAGCTCCTGGAAGCCCTCCGAATAAAAACTTCATTTATACTAAACATCTTCAGGGCTAGAGGGCACGAAGTGCCTGGAAGCCCTCCAAATAAAACTTCAGGGCTAGAAGGGGCGCAGCCCCTGGAAGCCCCACTACCTTTTTTTTTATGACCCTTTCATGGAGGTAGTTTTTATCCGCTAGTATTTTCCCTTTGAATCTCTTTACAATTCGAAATCAAATTCAAAACTCAGTAGAAGAAAGGAAGAATCGACTTACTACGGTTGTAATACGAATAAATACATATATTTAATTATTTTTATTTACATAATAATTGTTTGAAGCTCATATTCCATCAAATTTTTAAATAAAAACATTAAAATGTTGAATATGTTCATATATTTTAATAGGGTTTTGGCACTTTATTGAGGAATTACTACATACATAGTCGAACTGAACTTAATATTTTGAAATTTAAATTATTTATCAAAATTAAAATTTAACTTGAAATTTATAATTATTTAGTCATATTTTGCATAATTCTGTTACATATTAAGTTCTGTCAAAATGTAAGCTATCAATTTTTTTGAGAGGGAAATAATCATCGAGGAAGTAAAAAGTGACGCTTTAGGAAATATTATTAGAAATATGATAATAAATATATTTGGAAAAAATATGTTTTTTTTCAAAAATTGAAATGTTCATAGAATATTTTGAAATATGTAGGGAATTGAATTCGGTAATATATGATAAACAGGATTTTTAAATTTCAAGGAAAAATAGCTTTTGTGAATACTTTTGAGAACTCTTCTCAAAGATCATGATTCAAATATATTAATGAGCCAAAATATTAGAGATGAGTTCACAATCAAAATTTTACATTTTAATTATTTAGAAAAACGTATTAACCTCAATAAAAAAATATCTCCAAGAGTAATAGTTAATTTAGGGTTTCCTAGCTATCTAGAGGGAATTGTTCCTTATGATGTATATATTTATAATGTATGCATCATAAGGAACAATTCCCTCCTTAAAACGAGAAAACTTGTTCGAAATTGTTTATCATTTCGAACAAGTTTTCTCGTTTTTAATAACAAACTAAAGGCTATGAGGCACTGATTATATATTAGTGCCTCATAGCCTTTAGTAGTTAGTATGGGTTAGTTGGGTACGGAGGCACTGCGCGCCTCCTTACCCATTATATGTGAATTTGACACTTTACAAAACCATTAACGTATATTTTACAAATCAAACGCAAAAACTAACTTAACCTTAAATATTTACAAAACCACCAACCATTTCACCTCACTAACGAACTCACTAATGAAAAAATAAACGTTCTCATAAATTTTCTTCAATATCTTCATCGTCAATGTTAACTCTATTGTAGTCATACTTGAAGTCATAAAGTTTCTCAAGTTTTGAAATGCATAGTCTTGTTAACTTACCTTCATCATCATAAGTTTTTATAAAACTACCATGACAATCTTTATACACAGTCAATGTATAGTCAACTGGTCTAGGATGAAGTGTAAAGAACATGTTATACTCAGGAAGGAAGAATAAATGTTTAAATGTATGTTTGTTATATTTTTCGATTTGTATGAGTTGCTTTTGTTCTGTCATTTATATAAAAATAAAATAAAAATAAAATAAAAAATAAACTTAAAAATAAATTATATCACCACCCTCACACGTATGAAAACATAGCACAAAAATAAACTTAGGGTAGAAGGTTAGATCTAACCCGATTTCTAACCTCATTTCTATCCTGTTGAATTCATTGCTTTATAACTCTCTTCCTTGGTTTCTTTTTAGTTGCTTTCTTAACATCTGTCTCCAACTTGACTGTCTTTCTTCTTCGTCCGTAATGATACCAATTACTTCCACCAGTCAATGGGTCAAATGGTCGTTCATAAGGGTTTCCATACATTCCATAAGGTCCGTATGGATAAACCGCTGGTGGAGAAGAAACATTTTCTTTAGTTCCATCGACTCTATTTAAATGCATTGTTTCACCTTTCATCTGGTCATTAAAGTCTTTTGCGTGTTTTGCAAACTCATCGTCCTTTCCTAAAGCATTTTCTGACTCAGTCGCAACTAAATTGGATGCTTTATTTATGAGCCCTATTTTATTTAATCTTAACTTCTTTGCAACCCAGTCTCCAATCTTTCCTTTATTTGCGTCTAATGTCTTCGAAACCCTTCCTCCACTCATTTTATTTACTGCATCATAAGCTCCAAGTGCTTTTGCTCCAAATGCTAATGCTTTTGTTCCCATTGCGCCTAAAGCTGCCCAAGCTACCATTTACACCATATTAAAATCATCTCTCTTCAATATTATCTCATAAAAGTTCTCGTTACTGGAGAAAGTCAATGAAACATAAACATTCTCACGGGCTTCGCCCTCACCGCTTTGCGGTCTATCTAACTTATTTCTTATCTCATCTATATGCTTCAAAATGTCTGAACAATTGCTAACATCTTCTACAACAGTTATTTCATCATGAATGACCTTTAAAAACAAGCTCATTTAATATGCAATTAAAATCATTTCAATAATGAGTCCATCCTTTCCATCTTTAGGTAGCACAACATCTTTCATTGAAGAAGGTTCGACAAGTCTTATGTTAAACTTACTGACAAAGTTTGTTATACTATAATGCTTCGGCGGCGAATACATATAGTTTGAAAGACATAATATAGACTCTTCAGCAAATTCACTTATACTGGATTTTATAACAATGTTTTCACGAGACCAAATACCACCAATTGACAATCTTGTAAGCAATCCTGCTGAACCTTCTACTGTAAACGTCGATGGTAACATTCCACGAAGGTCATCTATTGACATCGTTGAGTCACTGTATTTAAATATTTTCTTAAAGCAATCGTCATTATCTAACCATGCAATAGCTTTGAAGTTTTCATTCGAATATACATCTGCTTCAAGGTGTCAAATGTGAAGTGTTGCAAGGATACTATTACGATGGAAACAGAGATATTAGAATAAGAGATGAAGTAAAAAAGTTGTTTGAGTTAAGGTTAAAGTATAGGAAAGAAGGAAATCCTTTGCAAGAAAATATAAAGCTCATTCTGAACAGTATTTATGGCAAAACTATTCTATCTCCTATTGAGTCAAAAATAACCATAGTAGATGACAAAGATGTTATAAGATATGCCATCAGAAACTACAACCATATAGTGAAGTTCGAAGGTTTGGATGGTTCGGATAAAACTATTTTCAAGCTAACGAAAAGCATTTGCAGACACTTTAACTTCTGTCCACTTGGTGTTAATATCTTATCTATGTCGAAACGTATCATGAATGAAGTATTTTGCACTGCTGAGGATATGGGCCTTCAAATATTTTACCAGGACTGTGATAGCATGCATATTTTCAATGAAGACATACCAAAGCTCGCAGCAGAGTTTAAGAAGAGATACGGTCGCGAACTTATAGGAAAGAACCTTGGTCAATTTCATTCTGACTTCGCAGAAATAACACCTGGAAAACAAAGTTTAGCATACAAGTCAATATTTTGTGGAAAGAAGACCTACATAGACTTACTCACTAACGATTTAAATGAAGTTGCATTCCATGCACGTTGCAAAGGTGTCAAACAAGACGTCCTTGCTTTAACAGCAAATGAAATGTTTCCTGAAGCTATACAATGCTATTACAATGAAGATAAGAACATTCACATACCTGTTGGAACATATGACAAAGACTCTGAGTTCAGTTTAATGAAACTTTACAAAGCACTTTATGACGGTCAAGAGATTGGATTTGACTTATGTAAGTCTTCTAGTCCTTGCTTTGCTGAAAAGTTTAACTTCTCAATAACGACTAAAACAAGCTTTATTCGTAAGTTGAAGTTCTGAGGTCATTTATTTTTGTCAGCAATGAGGTCATTCGTGATAAAAATAATGAGGTCATATATTTTTGTATTCTCTTCGGAATTTACTATAATATATTCTTGTTCGTCTATTCATAATATCTATAGCCATTATATATAACTGACTAGTATTCTTATCTTCTAAGATATTCATCTCTCTATACCTCAAACCATTGAAGAAATAGAAGAGTTCTTGTTCAGGGTCATAGAATAAATCTTCGAACTCATGCTTTCCATATCTTTTAACCTCAATAGCATCTTCAGATATTTCATCTACGTATGTAAAGTCATTTCCTGCATAACTTTTCCTATTTTGAGCATTTGTTCTATTATTTACCCATCTCAAATTTTCAACTCTGTTGTCGGTTTTTATCTGGTTTTGATGGTCTATCTGAGGCAAGTTATCTGGGTTTGGAATCCATTGTTCTGCTATTAGTCTATGCTTTGCTTTTTCAGAACCATTGAGAGATAACTTGACATAACCTTTCTTTGTTATATGTTCACTCACAATTTTTCCTGTAGATTTTTTCCTAATATTGTGTGGATATTCTGTATTAATTTCATAGTCATTGTCTGCAACATGTGTTTCCCAAACGTCTTCACCTTCCATGCCTTTCACTCAAATAAAAATTTTCAGAAAAAATAAAACTAGCTCAGATTTTATAATATTGCTATGGTAGAGTTTAAGAGTTGAGCTTCAATGTATAAACAATCTTTTCTATCTGGAGGCAAGAACACTGGTGCTTTATGGTCATGAGTTGAGTACATGTCTATCCAAAACTCACGATTGAAACCAGTTAGTTTGTAATATTTAGGATTTGGTAATGGTGAATTTCTTGTATGACCAATGAACTCATTTTCAACTCATTTACTTAGGTTTGAATATAATATTGCTTGTTTTCTATCCCAAATACCTGGAAATCTAATTTCGGAAAAATCATTTTTCCTCGGAAGCATTGCATCATAATTGAAAACATTTTTGAAATCATCACTTGGTTTAGAGATTTGAAATCTTATACGTAATGGATTTTCTTTCTTTTTAGCTACTTCATTGAATGGTGAATATATAACAAACTGACAGTCATGAGTTCCATCTTCATTTTCATTAAATTCATAATGAAAGTCTATAAGTTGTGGCTGACTACCTTCTTCTTTCAGTTGTGCAAGAAACTCACGTAAAGGCTGTAAAGTTTGTACTTCAATGTTAAACTTTTCTCGAACATTTCATTAAATGAAATCATACATTGTTGCAATGTTGTATCGTCTTTAAAGTATTTGTATATGTGAATGTTTTGGGCGCTTAAAGACTGTTCGTCATTTTCTATCTCGACTTGAAGTATAAAGTCAACCTTTCTGAAAGCACGTGTTATATACATATTTGTTATGCCAATGTACTTCTCTTCATTTATGTTCACAATCCAGTCTGTTGGAAACTTAAACGTTACTCTGTTCCCCTTTATTTTGACGTCAGGGTTTTCACTACTGAATGCAACAGATAAAGGTATTTGTCTATACATTTAGTTCCGATAAAAATAAACCATTTACTCTTTCTTTGCTTCAGCTTCTTTAGCTTTTGCTTCAGCTTCTTCTCTAGCTTTCTTCGCCAGCAAACGTGGGTTCTTCTGTCTTCCAGCAGCTAATGCAACAAGTTGTTTTTCACTAAGTTTTCTCTTTGGTCTCTCTGGCTTTTGTTCTTGTTTTTGTTCCTTCAGTTCGGATAAAATTTGCTCGCGAATTTCTTTCTTCAATGCTTCAACATCTATTGTCTGAGTCATTTGACTGCAGATAAAAAACTAAATTAAACTTTAACCAATGTAAAATGAGCTTGTCAAAATCAGAGCGAGAGTCTATTATATTAAATGACGCCAGAGGAATACAACATCCTTTCTATTATGTAAGTCAGAGTAAAGATGGTAAATATATATGTAAGAAAAAGAAAGGTTCCATTAGCGAATACAGAGAGCGACAACATTAAGGTGCATGGCACCGAGGGCGAAGCCCATATAAAACCTTCTGTTCAAACTGAAAAGTCAATAGAACCAGAAGAAAAGATGCCAGATGTACTTTCAATAACGAACCAAGAGCTTATTGCAAAGTTCGTGAATTTCATTGAAAAGCAAACAGAGTCAAAGAACCCTGACCTACCAGTGAAAGAAGTCGAGACAAAAGAGAATGTACAGTTCATTGAAAATGTTAAGAAACAACTTCCACCACGAATGCCAAGAAGAAGAGTGAGAATAATGAAGTAAAGAGATATTTTTATCCGAAGGAAAGACATGCAGAACGAACAGTTAAACGAATTTACTCCAGCAGAGCATATTCATCAGATTCGCTCATATTTCGATATCATAGACAATGCAGTTCAAATTGGTGACACTAATAGAAAATATTCTGACGCAAAGATTCCATCACAACCTGGAACTGCTAAAGATAACACATGGGTAACATTCAATCTCTCACCTCCTGGTGAAAATATGTTGGACCTTTACAATACATTCATTACGTATAAGATGGAAGGTCAATTTATTGTAGATAAAGAAATTGGTTCAGGTTCCAATAAAACAAACCCACCAGGATTTTGGATTGGTTTCGATGACGCTTTCTATGCAGTTGCTGGATATCAAATCCTTGCAAATGGTCGTATCGTATATTCTCAAGACAACGCAAGAGAAGAAGCATATATAACTTCAAACTCACAAACTACCGAACAAATAAAGAAAGTAGATGTTTTCTCAAAGACTCGACATGAAGATGTATGGAGTCATTCGGGAACATGCAGAACAGGACAAATTGTTAGTGGTCCAATTACAGCAGGAAAATCATTTGATTTTAAGCTTCGTTTAAGAATTCCTGTTAGAAGATTCCTTCCATTAGAAGCTATTCGATTTATTCCAGCTTTTGCAGGAAACATTCAGCTTAAAGTAAAGTTCAGTAGCGACGCCTTACAATGCACATCTATATCTGTAAATGATATCATTGCTTTCAATCCAACTCTTAAAGTTGCATTTGCTTCAGATTCAAATCCACCGACAAATAAATTTGTTCCATGGAATGAACCATTCACTATGATAACGAAGTCAGTAGAAGCTAGTGGAACAGTTACTATTACAACTGTAACCCAGCAACTATTTCGAACAAAGATGGATTTTAATGAATGTTTTATTCATCCAAAGTCATTCTCTTTAGACCCTAACATTTATACAGAACTTGTAGAACATTATACAAACGAGGCTTTATGTTTTCCTGTTAAAGTTATGGATTGGATTCCTATGGACGGTTCATTCTCAAAGAATACAGATAGTTCAAGTGCAACATTTACAGCAGCTTATACGCCTATTAATGTTAAAAGTATTTGGGCACTATTTAGAAAGAAAGACAACTATTATGTTAATTTTGAGAACCCTAAGTTTAAATATCTTCAGCTTTCCATGGGAGCTTATGGAAATATGCCTGCAGAACCTGAAAAATCATATGGACCTGTATTTTATGAAATGGTTGCGAACGCTTGCAATACAAACAATGATATGATAGGATTTAATGAAGATGTTATGAGGTCATTGGTGGATGATGGTAGTGTGGAACATAAATGGGATAGCTATGACAACACACATTTCTTATGTGGTTTTCCAACAGAAGTGGACTTTTGCTTCCAGCAAGGTCAAACATCTACTGCTCCAATAACATACAAATTGACTGTTAAAGGACCTATTGAACTAGCAACTGAAAATGTACCAAAGCCACTTATTGGATTTATGATGGATTGTTGCTTTGCCATTCAGGTGCGTGCTAATGGAATCCCAATAATAAGATTAGATGACTATAACTTAGCTGCGGACGACAGTGAGGAATAAAGGATGAACGTTTATTTTTAAAGCTTATAAATGAGTTCTTCATCAAACTCTCGTGAACCTTCACCATCTGTGAAACAAACTTTACCAAACGATTATGGAGCACCTATTGAATATTTCTTACGAGCTGCACAATGGCAAAGAGCAGTCTCACCAAGGTTAGGTGTTCCACCAGTTCCTGTCAAAAATAGCATTTGGTCAAGTCCTTATATAAGATATGGTCTCCCACTAGGTTTGCTAGCTACAGCAGGAGCAGTAATGATGTTGAAAAGAAACAAAGCAAATGTTGTAAATAATACTGAAGTAGCTGAAGTTAAACAAACTCCGACACCTTCGCCAAAACCAACGTCAAAACCAACACCTTCAATGACTCCTGAACCTATGAAAGTACAAACTCCTGTTCAAAAGTCAACTCCAAAACCGACTCGAACATTCATACCTGAACCCAGGCCTCAAATCAATCGTAAAACTCCTGCGTTTCCTTACTGAAAAAATAACGTTAGTTTTATTTTATTTGAACATTTTATTTAGAGTAAAATGACGACTAAAGTCACTGAAGCAATGAAACAAAAGTTCTTGGTAGAATACATTAAATCAGGAGCGATTCCAGAAGGTTTTTACGTTCATACTATGAAGGATGGTAGAGTTCAGTTTAGAAAGATAAAGCAACCATTAGATAGAGAAGGTATATTAAGGAAGATTAAACTTCATGAAGACAACATTGCTGAACTTAAGAAGAAGCTAGAAGAGTTGGAAAAAGTCAATGAAGAGGAGTAAACTTTAAAATTATTTTGTCAGTAATTTTAGAACAGTCAATGACTGACTGACTGACTGTTGTAATGGCTGATTTTTCATAAAATTTTTAAGTTTATTTTTTAAAATTATTTTTTATTTTATTTTTATATAAATGACGAAAACTATTGAGATAACAAACTACTGTTGTAAACGAAAACGATAAAAACTGTTTGACAGAAAAGTGACACTTTACATGGCAAAAATAGAGCCTTACTTTTGAGATACTTGAGATTGAAACTGAATCTTATGAGGCGGTGATCTTGAATCACTACCTCATAAGGTTCAGTTTCATATAAAATTTGTTGCAATTTGTTATTCTTTTGCAATTATTTCTTATAAGATTTTACATCTTTTAGCGGGGAATGTTTGTTATCATGTTAAACTATTCGGACAAAGTTTCTCCGATTTTTTGAAGGAATTGGAGGCTATGAGATACTGATGCAATGTCAGTAACTCATGGCTTCCAATTCCTTCCTAAAACTCATAAAAGTGGACATTACATGCATATAAAATTTGACATGTAAAGTCCACTTTTTGTGAGCGGGGATTTGACTCCGTCAAATCCCCTTTTTCGTTTACGAGACCACAACGGTCATGAGTTCAAGAATTTGTTCTTCGTTCCTCGTGAAAATACATTCTATCAGATACGAGGGAGCAAGGGTAAAGTTAGTTTGAGCGTTTACGACAACAAGCATAATGGGAGATATATACAAGCATACGATACAAACGGTAAGCGTGTTTCATTAGCTCTATCAAAACTTAGTAACATTTATTTTGACAGTGACTTTGACTCTGACGATTGGAGTGACAGCAGCAATGGTGAAGAATATGAATTGTTGTGTGAAGCAAAGCAATGGGAAGAGTGGCAATACTTTTGTAAATGAGAACATTAGTGTGAACGGTAGTGAGAACGTTTATTTTTTACAGTAGTGAAGTGAGGTGGTTGGCGGTTTTGTAAATATTTAAGGTTAAGTTAGTTTTTGCGTTTGCGTTGTAAAATATACGTTAACGATTTTGTAAAGTGTCAAATTCACAAGTATTGGGTAAGGTGGAACGCAGTGCCGCCGTACCCAAGACTTGTATACTAACTACATTTAGATCTAACCAATCCACCATACTTTGATCTGTTTGATAACCTTTTGGAGTTTTTGAAAATTTGAAAAATGAACTGAGAAAAGTGTTGTCAGAATCACGATCAAGAGTCTTTCTAGTTGAAAGAACTAGTGGCGTAAGATAAGTACAAGCAGCTGTAATTGCTGTTACAATAGAGATGTGATGAGTCTCAGTGGATTCGCGGAAATAAGGTTTTGTTTTACTCCTTTTGTTGATAAAGCAATTTTTTTTCTTACCTTTTTCTGGTCTTCTCTGAAAACCTGTCTGATCCATATTTATTAATAGAGCTAAATCAATAAGTATATCAAGTGCTCCTTTTATTTCATTGATATACTTTTTGATTGCCTCAGGATCTATGGCCGCACGATCATCATCAACATATCCACATTTTTCAATTGAAATTTCATCTGCGTGTCTTTCGGCAAATCTGTAAACCCAATCATCAGCATGGATACTCTACTGCTGGACTAACAAAGCTTTGAGAATATATTTTCAAGAAATATATTGCTCTGCATAAGTATTCTATTCTGAATCGAATTCTTTTTCCAACAACCGTTCGCATCATGGTTAATTTCGTTCAAGTCGTCGAAGCAACTAAGAAAAAAATTTAAATTTCACTATAGAAGGATTGAAATTCTGAAACGTACCTTGCCTGAGTTAAGGGACTTGAATCTGAAAATGATTTTCTCTGTGTGAATTTAGATCTTCTGTTGTGTATTGTCCGAATTCGTGGATATTCAGATCTCTGAATGCTTTCGGACTTAGTACGAAGAGATAATATTAGGCAATTGATTTTAATTCTGAAACTTTATACTGAAGGAAATAAATGGTTGACTTGGATAACGTTAGTTGGGAGATAGTATAATTGGAGCAGCGTAAAACATCGATTTGAAGAAGTTATAATTCAAATTGGCAAATTTGTCACTTTTTGAATTAGTCACTTTTTATTAATTAAAAAATTTTCCGAATGGGAATTTTTTTCTCTAAACCAGCTTCTCAAGCCCAAAATTCTACTCAAGCTTCCCTCGAGCAAAACTCATCACATACAACTCCCTCAAATCTTAAAATTCAGTATACAACGTTTGAAAAAGAAGATCTAAAAATATTAATTTTAGGTCCTGGTGAATCAGGAAAATCCACATACTGGAGGCAATTACGTAATATTTATGCAGGCGGCTTGACGAAGAAAGAAAAGATGAATTTAATTCCTGCTATCAGAATCAACTTAATAGCAGATATCAAAACAATTATTGAGAGCTCACAAACTTTAATGATCCAACTGAGCTCTTCATGTGCTAATGAAGTCGACTTACTCCAAAATATCGAAATTTCAGACACAGAGCTTACACCAGACGTTGCTCAGGCAATTGCCAAAGTCTGGAGTGAACCAAGCGCAAAGATTATATACGATCAGATCCATTCAAGTTCTTTATCGGATCATTCTGCTTATTTCCTTGATTCTGCCGCAAGGATTGCAAGTTCTGATTTTATGCCTGATGACAGAGATGTGATTCTCTCAAGAATTCGCACTCTTGGTGTTAATGATATCAAATTTGACGTAAATGGCCAAAAAGTCTTACTTGTTGATGTTGGTGGACAGAGATGTGAGCGTCCAAAATGGAAGTCTGTTTTCCAAAATGTTACAGCTATTATTTTTGTTGTTTCTTTATCTGATTTTGATCAATGCATGTTTGAAAACTCTGAAGAACGCAGAACTACAGACTCTCTCGAATTATTCAAAACTACTGTCAATCAGCCGTATTTCCAGTCAAAACCAGTTTATCTGATCCTAAACAAAGAAGATGAGCTTAAGAAGAAGATCAAAACATCTCCAGATGCATTTAAATCGGCCTATCCAGGATTTACTGGGGATATTAACAACTCACAAGAAGTTATTGAGTATATTCAAAATCAATACCTTGCCCTCGCAGAAAATCGTGGTGAAGGGGCTGAAGTTACACCATTTGTTACATGTGCTGTAGATCCTGAGATTCTGAAGAACTCATTCGAAAAATTGTCAAGAAAATTACTTAATATCTCTGAATAAATTATTCATATTTACTAAATTTTCATGTAGGTCTCCTTTTATTGTATAATATTATTTATTTACTATTTTATTGTACCGTATGCAAATTTTCTCAAGGAATTAGTTTTATGCCAAAGAATCTTTCAATTCTTTGCAAAGTGGCAGAAATTTAGAGGGTAACTTTTGATTAAATTTTTGACAGCCAGACCCTTTAAAAAATGAGAGTGGTACATTTTCCGAGAAAAGTACATGAAAAAATTAGTGTGTTAGAAAGAATCTTTTTTTCCTCCCCTAATATAATCTTTTTACAAACAAACAAAAGTTTTGAATCTATTAAATTTCATCATCTGAGTAATTTCTTCTGGATTTTGAGCGAACACCATCATCTCCATCCTCGCTCCCTCCTTTTCTCTTCTTTTTGGAGATAAAATCCGATGACTTCTCAAAGTGGGCATCAAAATCTTGCAAGTCAGTGCACTCAAACAGTCTTAGCTCGCCATCGTGTCTCACTCCAAGCTGATCGATGCAAAAGGAGACACAAAGTTTTATCCATTCGATTGGTCTTGGTGAATTATGTCCACCAGGAAGTTTCATAAACAATTTCATCACATTTGGACAAGCTTGGTATAACAACTGGCTGTGCTCGAAAGGTACTATCTGATCATTTTCTGCGTGGCCAATGATAACAGGAACTTTGATTTTCTTGATAGATTCTAAAACGTTAATTTCTCGATAATCGAAGAAAGCTGTGCTGTCTACGGATTCTTTCAAGAGCCATGACGCAAATGGACGAAATAGAAATGGTATGTCGGTTTTCTTAGATATAGTTTCAACCATAGATTCAACGGAAATGTAAGCAGAGTCCGAAATACAAGCAACAACACTTGGATGATGAACGAGTAGTGCTGTAGCAGCTCCCATCGATCTGCCCCATAGTATAAACTTTGAAAAGCCAAATTGAACAGTTAATAAGTTTATTAAAAATTTTGTATCAAATGATTCGTAATATCCTAACGAAATATATTCACCATCACTTTCGCCACAGCCTGCAAAGTCAAAACAAAAGACTGCAATCCCGTGGGGACATAAATTAGGAATTAAAAATCTTCCTTCTAATTGAGAACTAGCATTTCCATGGAGATAGATTACGCAAGGATCACCTGAAATAATTGGTTTTTCTTCTAGATAGTAGACTGATCCTATTAATCGCAGATTTCTTTTGTTTTGATACGTGCAAGGACAACGTGTAAATCTCATTCCTGAATAGGTAAATGAAATAGGTAATTGAGTTAAATCGTATATCTTCCTCCGAGGGCGAATGATTGCTTCTTTCGCCTTTTTCATTTTTTTGTAAATTTCCGAACAAAAAAAATTTCTACGACGATACGTCTAAATTGGCCTCTTAGTGGACACTCAAGGGATATTGAGAGATTGAGTAAATCTGACACTAAATTTTGTTTTTCCTGAGTGGACAGTAGGTCATAAGCAATTTGCTTATACAATCAACATGAGCGACTTTCTAGATTGCCTAAGCATTACGCTTCTCATGAAATTATTCAAAGTCCAAGCACACATTTTTGCTCCACTCTGGCCTATTTAGTGTTGCAAACTATTTTGTAGCTCAAATATCGCATAGTTTTTCCTAGATTTGCCTTGATATATTAAAGATCATATCATTCATATTTGGAGTCTACCGATTCTATTTATCTTATACATTCGGAAATTTATTGTTTAGATCTTCGTTGGACAACATTTTTCACTAGAATTTTAATTTTCGTCTTCAAATCCATTAGATTAATCTAAACATATATCAAAATTTTAGTCTAATATGATTCTGGAGAATCTTTCCAAACCATGATATCTGCTGTTATTACAGATAAAGACTCAACATCAAAGAAGTTATGGTAGATTTACGCAATTTTTTTTCAACTAACTGTCAGCAACCTGTGTAATAGCATAAATGATGAAACTTATATAATTCATGAATTAGACACAGGTACGTCAATAGCCCTTCTCAGAATTAAAAAAATATTTCAATGATGTGGAGATATAGTGAGTTTTTTATTAAAAATGTAAACTATTCAAACCTACCCCCTTAAAAGAATTTCAGGGTAAGAAGTTCTACTCTATATAAATGAATATTACCATCATATTCGATGCTGCATTTTCACTCATAATAGCAATTTTTGCATTAATGACATGCTCTCTTGCATCGAACTTCTCAAATTATCATTCGGGAGTTATTTTTTCTGGAGATCCCTTTATTCCAGTCAGTCAAATCAATAATGGGCCGATAACATACACAAAATCAAAAGAAAATCTTATCGAAATAATACCCCTTACGTACAGATTCCAAGAAAGGAAGGAAGGACGTGCATTTTTCTTTACAAAAAATCGAGAACATGCGCAGATGTTCGAAAATTTCTATGAGTATTATCCGAAAATGGGAAATTGGCGATATACTGATTTTTACAATGAAGTAAACTGTAAGATTTACGTTTACAGAAATTGCTATGCTACTTTCAATGGTGAGTTTTCGAATGGTACACATATTATTAGGCCACCTTATGATACTGCCAAAAATTGGATTCGAAATTCGGAATCAGGCAACGTTATTGCTTCATACAACTATGCAATGGTCTTTGGCCATGCATTAACAGAAAATATTCTACACTTATTCTGTGATACTATATGCCCGTTGTTAGCTGTACCACAATATCTTTCAGAGAAAGCTCAGCTGATTATATTTGGACTCCCTCACATAATTAAGGACATTTGTGACGTCTTAGACATTCCACCAGATCGATATACCATAATAAACAAAGGTGAATGGATTGCAGCGCAACATCTTATTGTTGCAGCAGAACCTCGGCCACATGTTTCCCATTATGGGCCACTTCCTAGTTTCATTGCCGAAAAAGTCAGAAAGAAATACCATCTAGAACATGTTATTCCTACAAAGTATGTTTTTCTAAATAGAGATGGAAAAGTACGGCAGATATCAAATATTGAAGAAATTATGAATGAAGCGAGAAAAATGTGGCCCAACATAAATTGGACTCAAATACCCGACACTATTCCAACATTCCAAGAGTCTGCCATCATTTGGTCGCCAATTAAATTTGTTTTTACAATAACTGGATCACAAATTTTTCGATGCATATTTATGCAGCCAGGAACAGCAATGGTTGTTCTTTTCTTGCATATTTTTGATACATTTGTTACATGGTTCATTAACTCAATGGATATAAGAACTATTACTTTTGCTAGCACTGACAAACTACATTGGGGAAGTCAAGCAAATAATTTTGATATCAAAGAGTGCATGAGAGCAATTGAAGTGGCTTTATATAATTTGGATCATAATAATACTTGGCCAGAAGTCGATCCATCTGAAGGATTTCCTGATTATTATCCATGGTATTAGTACCAAGTAATTGCGGATATTTTGTAAATAAAAAGTATAATATAATTATATAACAACAAAAATAGGAAATTTAAAGTTTGGCAGTGGAGTGTGATTTGGAAATGTACATATGACATATTTCGACTTTTTTGAAATCATTTGTTATATTAATGAAATTTTACGGATTGCAATAAAAAATTGAAAAACACAAACGAGAATGACAAAATGAATATATACATTTTATTGGCACTTCGAAAGATCCTACAATCAAAACGATTTTAAATAATTATTATTTAAAAAATGCATATTACTTAAAACATTAAATATAATACTATTTTTATACAAACATTAATTAATTATTTGTTATGCTTTGCTTCATAATTTAGGCGAGATATTACTTCTGCATGCCTTCTTTGTTGAACTTCAGCTAATTTCTTTTTCTTATCTTCTTCAAGTTTTTTCCTTCTTTCTTCTTGCTTCTTTATCAAAGCCAAAAGCTTACTTTCTTTTTCTTTTGCAAGTTTTCTTGCCTCAGATTCTACTGCCTTTGATTTCTTCCTCATATCTAACGATTTTTTCCTTATTAAATCTTGCCTTTCCTTTAGAATTTGTTGTCTTCTCTTCTCAGCACCTTGAAGTTTATTCATCGTTTTCTTATTTGAATTCATTATTTCTTTATCTGCTTTCAATCTTAGAGAGCTTGCTGCTTTACTCGCTCTTTCCACTCTCTTCTTCATCTCAAGAGCTTTGTCTCTTCTTTGTTGTTCAACATTCTTGAGTCTCCTTTCAATATCAGCATTTTTCTTTTCAAGATCCTTAAGAAGTTTAACTCTCTCTGCTTCAAGTGCTTCATCTCTCCTCTCACGATGCACATCAACAGGTAACAAAGTCTTTGGCTTTTTAAATTTCCTTCCTTTTCGCTTTTTACCTTTTTTAGCTTTTGGATTTGATTCATTAGGATCTTCTGTATTAGCTTTCGACTTCTTTTTCTTTTTACCTCCTCTTCTTTTCTTCTTTGCTGGCGGAATACTAACATTAGAAGGTTCAACTTCGACATCGGGGGATGGTAAGCGAGCATTTTGCCTTCTTATGATTTCTTCACGTAGCTGTTTGATTTTTTCAATCATTTCAAGCCTTCTTTTATTTAATTCTATCATTACTCGAGCACGTATATCATCAGAACCAGGAATACTTGAATATTCATCAGGGGAAATAACAGTCAGATCTTTAGGTATGTAGCCAAGAATGTCTAGTGCTTTTAATGTTTCTGGTTCTGTAAATTTTGGAATTGTTGTAAGATCTTCTAAGTCAACATCTAAAATACCAAAAAGCTTTGGTTTTTCAACAAACAATATCTCAGATTCCATGGAATCAGGGGTGTTCACTAAACCTGGTGTTTCCCCGTCGTCCATGATTTTCCTCTAACTAACGTACAAAAAAAAGTTGAAGAATGAATTTAGATTCACCTCAGAAGATTAAAAGTCCGACATCAACTTTACAGAAAGAAGTGGAAATACCAGTGTTACCTCCATCCTGGCAAAATATCAATACTCAATCACCTAGAAATAACCTACGCAGGGAAATATCTTATGAAAATTCCCAATTAACAACACCTGAAGCATTGACATATCAAAAAAACCTAATCCAAAGCGAAATACAAAAACTCCGTGAAGAAATTAAACCACTTACTGACAAATATAGATCTTTACAAATTAAGGCTGATGAAAAAAATGGATACAACAGTCAAATTGTACACAACAATGAAATGTCATCTCAATTAGCTGATCTTCATGCTGAATATGACAATCAAAAGGAAAGACTTGCCAAATATCGTAGGTTTTATACCCAAGCTACGCAAAACAAATTAGAAGCAGAAATAAAACAACACTTGGAAGAAATTGGTGAGTTTAATCGCCAAAATTCATTATTACAAGAGCAACTTAATTCTACTCGGGAAAAACTTAAATCAATTCTTTCCAGTCCTCTTGCAGCATCGATTAAAGAGCAAGAGAAAGTTATCCTTAATCTTGCTGACGAAAGAGATGAACTCAGGGATATAGAGGACCAATTAATCGCCAAACACACAGAAGATGACAATGATGAAGATACTTTTCAAATGCTTCATGCAAAAGTTGAATCCCTAAAAAAGAAACTTTCGGCATTAACAAGAGAAAAAATGCAAAAATCTTACGAATTACGGAAACTGTCGCTTGAGCGTGAAGAGCAGATAATGCAACTCAAACTTGATATGCAAGCCAAAAAGGAGTTAAATGAAGATCGAAAACGCAAAAAAGAGCTACGAAAGAAAATTCATAACGATTTGATAAATTCAAAACAGCCAACTCTTAAATTGCCCGACGGAACTTCCAAAATTATTCATTCTCCGCGTTATGCTACTAAAAATAAATTTTTAGATGAGAATATAGACACTGGATCTGAGTGTGAATTTTATGAGGATGCACACAACTGCTAGTGATTTTATTATTTGTTATTTAAATTTGTTTTGTTACATTTTCCATAAAAATACCATTTTGTAGAATACTTAATTATATTATTGAGAGAGGAGCCTCAGAAGAGCAATTCCATAAAGCAAGTATACATTTTATTCATTTCATAGACTTTTTCCTTGTCCTATGGTATTATCTTTTCATATGAAGAACAAAAGAAGTACAGGCTATCTTCCTTGCTTATATGAGCCAAATATACTACGAGTATTTGATCTTAAGGCATTTTTCTTCATCAGATCTTTCAATCACTTTTTATGATGAATTTTATATTCACAATTTATTCTATACTTTATTTCACTTTTCTGAATTTTTTTTTCCAAGAGACAGATATCATGTGGTCTTATTCTCCAGTGACCGAACTAAGTTCACCTGAATTTCTCGAACCTCCACAATCACAGTCGGTACCCATGATCAATGATATTCCTATTCCAAACTTTGAAATGGATGATTTCTCTCAAGTTCAAGAAAATGTTCCACAAGGACCGATACCAATATCATCAAATTCTTATGTAGTTCCATCAATCACTGTTGATATTGCTGCTCAGATTATTAAAGGGAATTACAAAAAGTTTTTTGAACAAGTTATTGTAGTCGATTGTAGATATAAGTACGAATATGACGGCGGACATATTTGTCATGCAATCAATCTCATCACTTATGAAAAACTCTTAGAATTATACCAGAAATATCAAAAAGTTAAGACGTGTTTTATTTTTCATTGCGAATACTCTACAAACCGCGGCCCGACCTGGACATCAATTTTTAGAGATATTGACCGAACACGCAACAAAATGATCTATCCAAAACTAACTTTCGAACACGTTTATTTGATAGAAGGTGGGTATAAAGCATTTTATTCCAAATACGAATCCTTATGTTCTGGCGGATATACTTCTATGGAACAGGACGGGTCTCTAGATCTCAGTAACCTAAAGAAGGCAAAAAGAATTTATAAATCAGAAATTCAAAAACATCATGGCCCGCGAACACCTCAAGTACATAGAAGACCTGCAGAAATAAAGGCATCTCATAACATCCTAAGATCAGTTTCGTTTAGCCAAAATCTTTAATGGTATTCAACTGTGTTTGCTCATAGTTCTTATCATTGCTTGGCAAAATATATCAAGCAACATATATTTGTTATAAAATCGATGTTTAATAATTTTATTTGCTAAAAATAAATTTATTATAGTTTATCTAGAGTCAATTTGTAGATAGAGTTATATATCAAAATTTATTTTGCAAGATATACAAATAAAACAGCTATAGAAAATTGGCAAACCCAAATTTTAGCTAAAAGTGACAGGGAAAAAAACGTTTAGTATTAAAAAAAGACCGATGAGAGCTTCGTTCGAAATATAGAGGGAACTGAGAATGCGCAACCATTCTCAGGGAATATTGGATGCTATTCCCGTTCCCTCTGTATGGAAAATTGAGGTTTTCAAAGGGAGTTAAAATAATATCAAATTTATACTAATTTACTTCAAAATACAAAAGTATTTGACAGCTAAAATTAGTTACTTTAGCAAGCCTATCAATACCCTTTTACGATTATTGCTACTTTTTCGAAATAAAAGTAAAAACAAATTTATACTAATTTACTTCAAAATACAAAAGTATTTGACAGCTAAAATTAGTTACTTTAGCAAGCCTATCAATACCCTTTTACGATTATTGCTACTTTTTCGAAATAAAAGTAAAAACAAATTTATACTAATTTACTTCAAAATACAAAAGTATTTGACAGCTAAAATTAGTTACTTTAGCAAGCCTATCAATACCCTTTTACGATTATTGCTACTTTTTCGAAATAAAAGTAAAAACAAATTTATACTAATTTACTTCAAAATACAAAAGTATTTGACAGCTAAAATTAGTTACTTTAGCAAGCCTATCAATACCCTTTTACGATTATTGCTACTTTTTCGAAATAAAAGTAAAAACAAATTTATACTAATTTACTTCAAAATACAAAAGTATTTGACAGCTAAAATTAGTTACTTTAGCAAGCCTATCAATACCCTTTTACGATTATTGCTACTTTTTCGAAATAAAAGTAAAAACAAATTTATACTAATTTACTTCAAAATACAAAAGTATTTGACAGCTAAAATTAGTTACTTTAGCAAGCCTATCAATACCCTTTTACGATTATTGCTACTTTTTCGAAATAAAAGTAAAAACAAATTTATACTAATTTACTTCAAAATACAAAAGTATTTGACAGCTAAAATTAGTTACTTTAGCAAGCCTATCAATACCCTTTTACGATTATTGCTACTTTTTCGAAATAAAATAAATTTATTATCAAAAACCTTTTTTTCTTAGTAAAAATAAACGAAATTTTTTCCCTTATGAACTTTTGATGGAAATATGCAAATTTAAAATAATAAAGAAAGCCGCGAGCGAAGCGATCGGCTTAGTTCGAAGATTTTGATTCAAATCTTTGCTGATCTGTAATTCGCGGAAGCCGCAAGCGAATCGAGCGGCTTAGGTCTAAGATTTTGATTCAAATCTTTGCTTATATTCCTTAAATTCTTTATGAAACTCGCAACAGTTCCATAAAAAATTTTAAATTCTAAACTGTCGAAATTACCGATCGGTAATCACACCCTTCACGGGTGTGTCACTTTTAGCTAAAATTACCCCTACTCCTTTTTTGTACGTTTGTCAAAAAAATTGTGAGGAAGATCTCACAAAAATAGTCAAAATGTGAGCAAATTTTGAGAAGTGCTCACATTTTGACATACGATTATTTTCATACGTTTTTTTGATGAATTCTAATAAAACTTCATTACCACTTTCAGAACGAAGCGTAACTTTTCAGCACGTAACGCTCTATCATGTGTAGTGACATATTATTCAAAAAAACTCAGATTGCTTATCTTATAATAACAATTTCATTAGAAAAAATGCACGATTTCACGCTAAAACTTTGAAGCAATTCTTAAATTCGGATAAAAAATCGATATGTATTACACTTTAAACTTCAAAAAATGGTTCAAAATTTAGACTTAGTTTATCTTAACAATATAGCAGATTTTAAGCCGAACAAGTAGGAGTAATAGAAATAGCTCTTGAAAATAATTACAATTAGTAATATGTAAGTCAAAGTTCGAGTATTCTAATAAATAAACGTTCCGGATTTTCTTTACTACAAGAATCAATACTTAATATATAGAAGCAACAGTAAAAACTTATTAGAGATTCAAAAAGAAAGTTGACTAAAGAGAATCTTTTTATATAAGTAATTTTATTTTTTTGAAATACGAGATCGAATAAACATGTATTTTATTTTATTACTATAATAATACGTTTTTACATAGTAAGAAAGTTTAGAGACTGAAATGAAATTAAAAATTGAGAAAAAAATAAAGCTTTTCTATAAAAATTCATATTAATATATAGTATAATGATATTACAATTTATTGATAGTTGTGTTAGAAAAAAGGTACATTCACTATTTTTGACAAAATTTTAAATTTTCATGGGGTTGTAAATCTTATAATAACTAGATGAATAAGGAATAAATCCCAGTATGATGTGCATCATTATATTAAACACTATATGTAAGGCTGGTGATTCTATTAACACTTATGAAGATCTATAGTATTTGAGCAGATAAATTTGATAATTTCCAAAACTCTTATATTTCAAAATTAAAGTGTGCGAATGCATTTAAATGAGAGCAAAAAGAGATTGATGCTGTTAAAACTATGTGTTAATTTGCAATTATTTCGCATCACAAGAACTACCCAGTAAATTCGGCTATCTTTCTTTGCAATTATTCTCCATTATACATATAATATAATGGTTAGGGTTTGAAGAAAAGTTACTAGAGAATTATTGACTTTTGAAATAATGCAGAATTTTACTTGAAGAAATCATTAATTTATGAGTTCCAAATTGCTAAGCATGACGAAGGATCATTAAATTTGCTACAATTAAATACACTTATTGCAGAATTAAGATTTTTGAAATTAAAAGTTTGAAATATTGCCTTTTTGAATAAAAATTTAAATTTTATTATATAATCATGATAATATCTTATAGAAATTAAAAGAAAATATTTTAAACCATTCAAATATTTTGAATGTCTTATCAATTTAAAATATTAAAAGATAGCTTGATTTTATCATCATTAGTTGTTATCAAAGTTTTCTTCTTTTGATGAACAACAGTAAATGATTTGTTAATTACTTGTCTTCCTTTTTCGCAGCAAAATCGAAAGTTATGATGATAATCTTGCTCTCAATTTTGAAACTCTCTGATTTACAAGTAAGCATTCCTTTGGAAAAGCAGTCCTATTCTGTTTTCAAGATATTTTAAAGCCTCAATTTCATACAATGCGCAGATCTATTCGAAATTGCAAGAACTCTCAAGAAAAATGCAGCAGCAAAGAAGATTCCATAGTTTCTAGCATCAAAAATTTACAACCTTAATACAACAGTTAAAGAGAAGCTCGAAAAGAAAATATTTAACCATAAAGCTGGAAACCATTCGATATCTACTATTGGATCTAATAAAAAGTTAATTATAACATATTTAACATGCTATTTGTTGACTTTGTTCCATTATATTACCATATATACCTTTTTGAAATCTAAAATATTTTTACAATTTTAACCATGTGTTAAACCATATATCAATCTTAGCTAAAGTATAGTTTATGAGTCTGTCACCATCTAACGTATGAATTTTCAAAAATGTCAAATATGTTCATTTTTTCTGTAGATTCAGCCATAATTTCACGTTGTTATACTATTCAACTATTATTTAATATTTTTATCGATTTAAATATATGATGAGATGCTTAGTTCTCCTGGAAATCGATTTTTAATCGCAATTTTAACTTTCCAAAAAAAATTCAAAAATAAAAATCCCTCTCAATTTTCTAAGTTTTATAACTCGCCAAATCTCTAGCCAAATTTTTTTGGCCCGTATAAATATTGTTTGGCACTATATAGGGATGCTATTTATCATATTTTCATCCCATTTTACTGTTATCACCTAGTGAATGTACCTTTGTTAGAAAAAATATACAACTAAAATGTCAGTTTTAAAAAATTTAAAAATTATATTAAAACAATAGTCATTGAGGATGGTTAATTGCAAAAACTCAAGAAACTATCATTATCTCTCTTTGCTTAACACATCTACAACTGGAAACATCATTCCAAATGTTGCATTCAAGAATCCTATTATTATTCTTTCTTTCAATCTTTTATATTTACTCTTTAAATTCTAATATAATATAAATTCTTCATTTCCTTTGTTTAAACTTTTTTCATTTTAATACCATTTTATCAGATAGTAATTTTTGTTTTTCTCTGACCAAAAATCTTCTCAATTTAACTCCACCTTCACAAAAATTCATTGAGTTCTCTCAAAATTCTTGTATTTTTGGTATACTTAAAGTATCATCTTCAAATATTTTTTTTGGAGAAAATTGACTTTGCATAATATCGTAATACTTTTTAAGGCAGATAGATTTACCGTAAGTTGAAGAACTTTTAATTTGAACAGAAATTATTCAACAAATATTCTTTTTATTTGATCAAGATACGTATACCAATATGATCTACTTGCTAGGGATATGTAGATCACGTTCAGAATTTGCCAAGTTTGGTGAATATCTATGGGATTAGGGACATCTATTTAATTTAAGAACTAAAAATTAGCATAGGCATATTATGCTGTTACTGAAATATATTTTGGATGTATAAATTTTTACTTAATACTCTTTATTGTTATCATTTTTAAAGATTTTTTATTATGAGCAAAAAAATGGCAAGACAATAATATATTGTACATGCAATTTATTATTACTGAATAAATTTATCAATCAAATTTGATCACATACAATTTTTACAGATAAATACATTATCTCAAAAAATATCTATATATTAGTATATGTTACACGAAATGTAATAAAATGTATTACTTTATCAATTTATAAATAAGAATGAAAATTTGTTATAGCTTTGTTCCAATATTTATTTTTATATATTTAAGTTATCCATTTTACTGTTTTCATTCATATTTATAACAAAATTAGAGTCCTTACATT